CTCTCTCTCTCTCTCTCTCTCTCTCTCTCTCTCTCTCTCTCTCTCTCTCTCCCTCTGTCTCTCTACATCCATCTCTGTGTTTGTGTCTCTCTCTGTCTGCGTCTCTTTCTCTGTCAGCCTTTGTATTACATGTATATCAGTTGATTTGTTGTGCATTCTCTGTTTCGTCATTAAATTTCATAATATGCCTAAATTATGTTAGTTTTCCCCCTTGAAAACTGAGGAAGCCCGCATAACTTCCGCAAATATAAACATCTGATACTATATTCTCTTCCTAGGAGAGGTATGCGCTGAAGCGCAGATGTACGCGAGGGTTCTGGCAATTCCACGATACCGTCATATTTTATTGACCTTGGCTATATTTTACTTGTACGTGTTCACTGCTGCCTTAAATGGCCAATTATTTTACACATAAGATAAGTTTAAAACAAATGTCACGTGACTTTTTTTTTACAAATATGATATTATTATGCAGATGGTTCAAACTTAAGAACATTGCGAAATGGAAAGCTGAGGAAAAAACTTTCGAGGGAAAACAATGATTTTAAAGCTTATTTTGATGGAAACATTTTAGAAGAAGCACTAGACGTTTCAGAATAGGATAGGTCATGTAGAAAATCAGCAATCTAATAATCCCAATGTCTTTCATAGAGATGGGAAACTATAACATGTTTAAACGCCCAGACATTGTTTTCACAGGTCTCAAGTACAGTTAGACTTCTAGAGTAACCTGTTCTTGCGTTAACTCCTCGCGATACTTTTTCATGTTACTTTAACTCCATTTGCGTTACCCTGGACCTCCTGTGACTGAACTCTTTTTGTGTTACCCAAATTTCTTCAACCCCGAACACATCGACTTCAGAGTTGCATTATTGATTTGAACATTTGGGATACAACCATGCGTAAACAACTTCACCATGCGTCGATGCACGCTCTACTGAATTTCTGCAGCGGTGTTCACGTGAGGACTATTCGGAAAGAGATACATGACGTGCTTTGACTAAGCCTAGCAAGCCCTTGCGCCTCAGTACTGTTGACTGCAGTTATTGCACTAGCAATTTATGACATTGGCTCCTAATCAGTAGGGCGTGGCTATACACAAACCGAAATAATTGAGATATTTTTTTTTTCTGTTGTCTGTAGTGATTTTTTAAAAAGTTAGCGCGCAGGTTTGTCCTTCCCCAAGGTTGTCAGTAACTGAATGGATTATTTTGACGTGAATCTAACACCAACTCGCATGAACAGCTATTCTCTTATGTCACCTTCCGTTTGTATTCCACTGCCCTTGATTAGGTCAGGGATACCCATAAGAGTTCTAAGAAAAGTATCGACCCCCCCCCCCCAATAAATACACCAGTAAGCTGACAGAAAAATAGAATGAAAGAGCTTAAATTATACAAGTTTTGTTCGAACGATGCAGGCAAAATGGACATGAACAAAATACGATCTGGGCCTGCTAATGAAAACATTTTGAATCAGTGCTGAAGTGTAGTCTCTGGAAGTCCAACCCTCGTCCACGCCGTGGGAGATGGAAACAGGACAAAGTAGGGGATAGCTGGGTCTGGGTGAAGTACGGTGTGACTTTATGTCACTGAGGCGTTACGCTATCCGTGGAGGCCGACCCGGGTCACCCGGAAAACGTTGCTGGCCAACGAGGCTCTGGTGAAACTGCGACTGGCTTAGCAGGCCGACAGTGGATATTAATATTGCTCAAGAAAACAGAAGAAGACACAAACGGACTGTAGTGCTTAAGAAGAGCGGTCAACAAAACAAGAAGAGACAAAATAAAAAATGAAGTCATAAGGGACACCGTGGGAGCAACACCAGTC